TTCACGTTCCATTCCTATTTTTCTTCGTTTACGCGGTAACATTTATGAAACAAAGTGCCACAAATTGGATTTATTTAGTAACCAGGACTTATATAAATGACAATTAACCTATTTATAGGACTTAATTCGATTTTGATTGACCCTTTTAGAGAAATTTGAAGACGTTCAACAAGATTTAAAAAAAAAAAATTAATATATTCTAGTTTTAATTTCATATCACTCTGTGCTGTGTAATTCAGATGTGGATGTCTTTTCAAAACTTAAAAAACTCGTTGATTCAAATGTTTACATTCATATATTTCACAGAAATGAGTTTTCAATTATATTTTTTCATTTTTATAAACAATCAACGCGCTTCAATATTGCCTTACTCTTTTCCTTTTTAAATTTTAATATAAAGACAAAATACGCGTCCTCACAAATTATATAACTGAATTGTTTTGTTTTTTGTTCAGAAGTAAGATGCAGAAATGGTCTCTATGGAAAAGATGCAAGATTTATAGCTTTGATTCGTAATCTATTGCAAATCTATTTACTCAATTTATGAGACATTATGTCAATCAGATTTTTCTTTTCCTTTCAGACAAAACCATTCATTTTATACGACTGGATTCCTTGTTTTGCCTAAATATCATGAAAACAAATAACATTCTGTATAGTATTTGAAGCCTCTTTGGAAACAGTTGCTCTTTGTAAAGTATGTTGCCTTTAAGGCATACCGAGTCTATTTATTAATTTGTTTAAAGAAGTTTGTCACAACAACGGTGATATTGTTACTACAATCGCATCTTCTCGGCCCTTTCCGCCAAACTCCGAATAAGAATTGATAATACCCGAGATGTTCCGACTGGTCTTTGCAATACACTTGCTTAAATCGAGCTGTCTATTACTTACAAGTAAAAACAAATAACATAGCAGTTTTAAAAAGTTTCAGAGAAAGTGCACCATCTTAAATAACGAAGAGAATTGTTCCCCTCAATTCTATTTACTTTTCCAATAGCCATTTTCCAATTTGTCATGCCTACATAAATAGGAATATACGAGGAAAAATTATCTTTAAAAAGAGATAAATAAAAAAAAGCCATTTTGAAAGATACTGTTAAATTTCTTTATGGATTAATGAATTATTTATAGATTATGAATAAAGCTTTACTAATACTGAGTAACGTTCAAAGAAAGTAGCCCCTTTAATACTCGCGGAAGGTTAAAGAATGGAATATATATACTGGATAGACAAACGTTGTTTTGAGTCATTATTTGCTGATATCGCATTTTGATACTCGTGAAATGTCAACAGAAAGAGTCTCTTGAATAGACAAACAAATCTTTGAGTTATTATAACTGATATCGCATTTTGATACTTTCGGAATATAAAAGTACGGAATATACTGAAAGAGTCTTGAATAGACAAACAAATCTTTAAAAAATTGAATATATAAACTGAAAGAGACTCTTGAATAGACATACAAATCTTTGAGTCATTATAACTGATATCGCATTTTGATACTTGCGGAACGTAAAGGAACGGAATATACTGAAAGAGTCTTGAATAGACAAACAAATCTTTAAGAAATTGAATATATAAACTGAAAGAGTCTGCGGAGTAGATAAAGGAATCCTTAAGTAAAAATATGCTGATATCTCATTTGACATTCGCGAAATGTAAAGAAAGAAAATATACTGGAAAGACAAAAATATCTTTGGATAAAAACAATATACTGATATCGCATGTTGATACTCGCGGAATGTTAAGGACTCTCTTAAATAGATAAACAAATCTTTGAGTCATTACATAATCATATCGCATTTTAACAGTCTTTTGAGTATAAAAACGAGTCTTTAAGTCATTATAAATTGATATCGCATTTTGATACTCGCGCAAATATCCTGAAGTAAATGTAGACAAATGTATCTAAGATGTTACCTAAAGCAGAAAGTTCTCAAATTCATTTTCAAATTTCATGAAAATTAAGATATTTTAAATAGTAACAAGTATTATTAAACAGGAAAGTATAGTGATTTCATCGTGATGTTCAATTTATCCAAGCAATACGTTGTTGCGGAATTGTAATTTCTTTTTCTCCCCTCGCACACGTGTGATTTAGTCATACAATCTTCGACTGTTAATTGTGACGCGTTTAATGCATATTAATGAATGTAATAATTCATCTTATTAATTATTAAAATGCCATGTAATCATTTGAATGCCATATTATCATTTAGTATTTCTGCTTTAATTAACATCTCAAATATATTTTTTGTCTATTCATGAGACTCTTCCAGTATATTCTGTTACTTGACAATAGGAATTGAGTATCAAAATGCGATATCAGTAAATAATGACTCAAAGATTTATCATTTAGTTTTAAGAAATGTTTATAAAGACATCCCAAAAAAGTAAATTGATAAATTAAAATATATATACAAATAAGAAATAAAACAATAAACATTTAAGAAATGTTTCAATATTCAAAATGCAAGTGACAATATCTTTGTTTTATGACAAATACTACTGATGCTGCAATAAACATTTCAATTTCTTATACTATAGCAAACCCGTTACTAACGCAATACGCACAATTCCTTCATTTTATGGAACATTGTAGGTAAATGATGAATCTGGAAACTTGCTGCTTTAAATAAAACTTTGGATTTCCTTTTACAATAGTAAAACTAACACAGAACTTTGACTTATTCAAATTTCTAAAATCGTAATTCAACAAATGGAATAATTTAGTATCATAATTATCTTTAAAATAATATTCGTCCTCTATTTCGATTGAGCAACACTAGTTACAATTAACAACTAACATGCTTTAATAAAAATAATTGAGACATTTCTGTTGCGATATTATGATTGTAATGAAACTCGTCCTCTATTTCGATTTATCAACAATATTTACTATCAACAAATAACATGCTTTAATGCATATAATAAAGTAATTGACACGAGATATGGTTGAACTGGTTTAAACGGAGAAAGCAAATTGTGTTACCGTACACTTAATAAACTCTTTATTTTGAATTATTAAGATTTATTGTCCATACTCAAAGCCAGACTCTTTCATTACATAAAGAATTCAGGTTTAAGCTAATTTACTGCTACAATATAAGGAAATATCTTAAATGCTTTGATTGAGAAGAAACCAAATTCATCGTATAGAGTTAATATGCGTTCCTTGTAAAGATCCTATCTGTACAGACTAATAAATATCAGCTTTAATATGGCGACATAAACTTATTTTTCATTATTGCTGCATAATATACGAGGGAAAAAATCAACATCACTTAAGGTAGCCACTCCATTGATAAATCTAATAAATATTTCAGTAAACTTTACTTGCTTATGCATTTATGTTTTGAAAAAAGTTTTATCTGCATTTTCATGTTTTGGTTAGTTTACGTATGCATTGCGGAGTTTGCGACCCTACTCATGTAACAATTCACGTCGTTTTAAGTCAAAGGGATTAAATTCTTTGCAAATTTCATAAGAAAACAAATTTCAATCTAGTAGCCAAAGAAGTTCATTTTACGTAGCTAAAACCTGGGTCAAAAAATTAAAGGTTATTTTTCGTCCCAGCCAAAACGGATTTTTTTTCTCATCATTTAAGATAAATGTCAACTTCTGATTTTTACCGAGTTATGGACCAAGAACCTTAAAAAAGTATAGATCTAGATATGTTTGACATTAAGAAGAAATTTTGCAGAGTCATTTCTTTGAATTTATAACATTGCATACCCCTTTTCACCGTCGTGATGAAGACGTTTTTACATGATTATTGAATATTACGAGGCAAACAAAACTAATAAGCATAAATCTTTTTTATTTTTACTTTTAAAAGGCCAATTTTCTTACATAACGACACGTGTGTTTATGTATAAACTTGTAAAATTGTCTGGTCGACTGATGCGAAAGTACGTTTATCTTAAGATATATTGACTTGATATTAAATACCCGACAAAAAGGAAAGAAAACAAAGAAAAACAAAACAAGGAAACAAAACACTTCTTTACTACAAATTACGAAAAACTTTCTTTGTTATGCTTATTTAAATTTGAAAATAATCTAGTTGAAGCTTTTGCATTTACTAAGTTGCACAGATAAAGAAGGATCAAATCATCTTATCGTTTTAAATAAAAAAATGACAACATTCAGTGTATATTTATTGAAAATATTTCCTGCCTTACTTTGAAACTGATTCTGACAAGTCAAATACTCGTACTTTTTCCCCCCAATATAAATCAAATTTAGTCGCCGGTAAATTTGATTAGTATTTATAAAAGAATAAACCCGGCTCTACTCTAGCGTCACAGAGAAACGAAACTTTCTTATCTAATGAAACTGAATTGGACTAAAGTGTTCGATTAATCTAATAAATTGTCCCTGACTAAAACATTAAACAACGCTAACGTTTTAATGAAGGCGTAATGATACTCAATCTAGACATTTTAACAATGATAGCGAGAAAAAGAAAACACGGTTATAATATAGAATTATATTGCATATTATTCTATATTAATATGCTATTCTATAGCTATTCTATATCAATGCTGTCATTTTAGTTACATTGAATATATTTGAAAATTATAAGGTAAATAACAAATACTTTTGTGATAACAATTTATAGAATAGCAAACATTTTGAAGCAAGACTATGCTACTAGGAAATTCGATTAAGTATTGAAATGCAATGGCTTAAACAGGCAATAAAAATATTACCCTTAAAAAAGTAAAAATCATAATTGAAATGCAATCGCTTAAACAACTTATAAAATATATTTTCTTAACCCTTAAAGATAATTATGATATTATAATTGAGAACGATTTATAGAAAAACATTCTTTACCCTTTAAATAATTATGATATTATAATTGAGTACGATTTATAGAAAAACATATTTTCTAAACGCTTATTAAAGTTTATAATAAACCGTTTTCCACACATTTGTAAAAGAAAATTTCTTCGATTAAAAAAAGAAAATAAAAAGAAAATACTCTTACCTGATGCAGTATATAAACTTAATAAAACAACTGCTAGTGAAATTCTGTAATACATTGTTCGTCTGTCTCTAAAAAACTAAGTAACTGTTTATTGTAAATATCGAAATCTCATACGAATTGTTATTTTTTTCCACAAGTATCAGAGAAGTCTGAAATTTTAAACCTAACCGAAACCAATGTCCACAAGTTCTGCTGTAAAATAAAATGCGATCCGGTCTTTTATCTTATTAGCTCTCCGTCCTTCACGAAATTCTGCAGAGCTTAAATTACCGAAGCTGTGACGTATTCGGCTTGCCCGGTCTTTTCTCCCACACGAAGTCACGCCTTATAGCATTAGAATGCACTCTTTACTTTTCAAATAAACGCTCGCATACCGGAAATCAATTCTGTGGTCGTTTCCGTTCCGTTCTCTGGAAATCCTTATTTTATGCCAGCCAAAAGAGAAAATTGATGCCGATTGAATGTAATTATTACAGCAGGTATTTAAACACCAAAATAAGAGTAATTACCAAGGATGTCTATAAATGTAAAGCTCCACCTCGCGTTCGGCCAATCAATCAATTTCCCGCGCTTAATGTCCCACTGTCTGATTGACAGACGCGGAGAAAAATATCCGAACTCGACCGATTATAACAGAATCAACAAGGTTATTTGCAAGACGCAATTTCAGAGAAGGGGATAGCCGTATTGCTTTCTATATGACCATGTAATTTGAAAAAAGAACGCAGCACGTGTACTTGAGCAGACGACATTTGAGATTTTAAAACTATTTAAGGTTAATGGCTTTTCTTGTTATTGAATTTCATTTATATCATACCATGATTTGAAACAAAAAGACTTAACTACATATACGTTATATGATTATCATAAGAAAAAAATTGTTGAAAAAATGATTATGATTGAAATCGACTTGAAGTGACACAACATGCAATTAATTAAACCCACAGCATACCATTTATTCAGTTAAAGATAAAGTTTTTTTTTAATGAAAAGTAAATTCCGTATTTTCTTATCATAAAATTCAACCACAAAACCGCTATGAAACATAAATTGAATTAAAGTGTGTAATATTAATACTTTTCCAACAAGAAATAACAATAAAAACAAATAAAAAAATGAAAACAGAAAAAAGCAACAACAAACATAATAATGCAAGATTCATTATTAGATCTTCCCCGTTACATCGTCTATGGAACTAAAATATAATTGCGGCAGTTAATATAAAAAATGCGAACATATTTTTGCTTTTGCTTTTCAAGACATTTCAATGCCGTCGACATTTCAATAATATCTCTCTGGAGGACAAAAACTACGGAACATATTCTTTTGCTAATATAGGCATGTAAATACAGACTATTTAAAACTTGTTTGCAATATAACAAAAATAGTAAAAGGGTTAGACCAAATTTCTTACAATACGCATCTTAAACGGTAGGCTAGGATGGATGTATTTATAATTAACTTCAAGGAAAAAAAAACAACAACAAAAAAACAGCTTTCATTATCTGACAACATCTTGTATCGAGAGACGAAATGATGACTTTTGCTTATATTATTAAGTTTTTGTATTTTTTGTTGTTGATACTTTATTTAGCAGAATAGCATGTTACATTGAAGACGACGAAGTAATTGTATGAGCTTATGGGCAGCAATAGCAGCAGCAACAACAATAAAAATAATTATAAAATATAAAATATAGATAAAAAGTAATATAAGTAATCAAAGTGACAAAAGTAGTGATGACGGGATGATTAAAATGATGATGATGTTATTGATGATGATTATAACGATGACGATGATGATGTTAATTATGATGATGATTATGTTAATGAAGATGATGATGATGATGTGGATGATGTTGATGATAATGATCATGATGATAATGATAATAATAATAATAATAATAATAATAATAATAATAATGATAATAATAATAATAATAATAATAATAATAATAATAATAATAATAATAATAATAATAATAATAATAATAATAATAATAATAATGATAAAGATAATGATAATAATAAGGATAATTATGTAATTATAAAATGAGGAAGAGAATAATTATATAAAATAGTGATAAGAATATAATGATAATAAAATCGATGGTGGGGATAATAATAATAATAATAATAATAATAATAATAATAATTAGAAGAGGAAGAAGAATAACAATAACAATAATAATAATAATGATAATGATAATAATAATTATAATAATGATAACGGTGATGATGATCATGATGATGATAATAATAATAATAATAATAATAATAATAATAATAATTATGATAATAATGATAATACTAATTGGAAAAAATAATAACAATAGTAATGATAAGAATCATAATGATAAAAATAATAATAATAATAATAATACCACTACCACCACTACTACCACTATTACTTCTACTACTACCACTACTTAAAATTATAATTGATTAAAAATAGTTATAATAATGATAATGATGATGATAATAATAATAATAATAATAATAATAATAATAATAATAATAATAATAATAAAATAAAAATAATAATAATAATAATAATAATAATAATAAATAATAATAATAAATATATTTCAAACATGTCATACTACTCCCTGGCTTATTAAGGTGTAATCCTTTGGTTAATGAAAACTTGTATATTGGTATTTCAATATGACAAAAACTGGTTATATTTTAGAATATTCTATGATATGTGATAACTGCGATATCAAGTAAGCTTTATAGTTTCTAATAATGGTACAAAAATAATTTTTCATAGACGCAAAACGAAAAGCACGATCCCTATTGTTTCAAATAATAGTACATTTGTATCACTAAAAAGAAATATATTTCTGTCTTGCAGACAGACCTAAAATTCAATTCAATTCAATGTTTATTTTCTCAGAATTACAATGTCTATCGCCAATACCTATAGTACAGTGTAATACAATACATATTTTGAACATAAAAAGCATGATAATATACCGGGTCCTTCCCTGAAGTCATTTAAATTAAGCTTAAAGTATTTTAATGCGGTTTTGTGATATCAAATTTCAATGATATTTAATTTAAAGTAAAGTTTCAGGAACTAATTTAGGTTCTAATTTAAACAAATTCTTCTATAATTGACAGCGTATACTAAATATTAAATTTGGGGTGATATTTTTGTATCTACTTTTAACACATTTGCTGACAACGTGTAAGTAAATTAAAACACGGCTTGTTTTATAAATGCTATTAATCTAATAACATACAGAATCTTGACAATTTATTTACAACTTCTGCTTTTAAATAAATACATTACTAAATAGATACAACGTGTTAAAAGAGCTAACATTAACGATATTAATAAATAAAACGATAAAGTTTAAAGGCCTATAATGCCTATAATTTCTCAGAAACTGTTTACTTCTGGTATATTGCCACAGTCTTAAAATACACATTTGCCATATACATGATCTATCATTTGCTTATTTTGCCATGTTTTACAATTGGTATATATATTGAATAAGTATTTTGTATTGAAATAAAAATTCTACTTTGTTTACATTTTGCTACTGCATGTTTAGCGCGACTTCTTCTAATATGTCCTGAATCCATTATCAACACATTATTAAACACATGTTTGACATTTCTAAAGAATAAAGAAATACGGATTTCTGAGTCATTATGGTACATTATGCATTAGAAAAGATTTTCCCTTTTTTTGAAAGGGTAAATGTCATTAAATACGTCTAAATAGGGGTTTAACATTATGTTAGAAGCTTGTCGCCTGTAGAATGTAGCAATGCATGTGAAATTATTTGCCATAAAAGTACCAAAACGTAAACAAAGTGGTTTTCACTATAACTATACTTACTGCCAAATATGAACAGAAGCAATAGACGGTTCAGGTATTGACCAATGAGTAAAACTTCCAAAACTTTAACAGAACACCAAACAAAGGTAAAGACCATTCCTAGGCGTGATGGGGCTTTAAACATTCATTAACGTCTAAAAGTCAAGAAACTAGAAACCATTATATTTTGTCATACGAAAGTGCCCGACACCTATTATACTTTCAATAATTCGGATATATGGAAAACGTTATTGTGATTAAATCTCAAATTTCTAAATCAGTTAATAAAGTTGATCAAATTATCAAATCTTGTCTAGTTACTCACAATTTAGTCCCGTCTTCTTTTACAGGTTTAACGTGACCATTGGAATACAGTAAGTTTGTGAGTTTCAATTTTCATAGCTCTATAATCATGGCGTTTATATACTGTGTTGAAAATGTGTGTGTTTAGTTACAGAGAAATTTTGTTTACTTATTTAAACAAAATATTTAATGGCGGCATAGCCGAGTGGTTTACGCGTCGGTCATCTATCATTGTAATCTAATGATTGCTAGCCTCATGGGTTCAAATCCGTCCAAGTCGTTGTTTCATTGAGCAAGAAACTTTATACTCATTGTTCTGTACTGGTTGAGTCACGGAACGGACTCAAAAATGTGTCTATAAGCTTATAGCTTTCTTCACAATCGAACTAAAATAAAAATAAGCACAATATTAACTTGTCTGGTATCAAAATTTACAAAAAAGGTATTGACTTCACAATGATTTACTTTTCATTGAAATTCGATTATTACCAAAACTTTTTTTTATACACAAAGAGCAGAAGGGTGAAAAGTAAAAGTATCAGATTTGCTATTTTTATGCTTTTTTATGCCTGTGGATACTTAGATACCTGATTGGAAAGCCCTTTGGGCCGGCTCTATAAGAAGTCACTTTTATCCATGCGGTCTTGAACACTTGTGTTGATACTTTTTTCCATGCGTTTTGAACACTTGTGTTGGTATTTATATTCATGCGGTATTGAATAATTGTGTTAAGAGGAAGATGATTAGCTGTAACTTAATGCAATTATCGTTTACAAATAAAAAATATTTGTCACTTTATCATATAATCAAATCTCATTCGAAAGTTAATACATTTTAGGAAAGTTCGTAACCAAGTGAGCAACTGTTTTGCTTATATTAAAAGGTATGCAAAACTACCCCCCTTTGAGAATTTGGCATAAGAATTGCAGCTGCCGTTTAACCCTGCTTGATCGTAAGAGGTGACTTAATGTGTTCGAATAACTGTTAGTCTGTGCATTTCTTAGCTCTGTGTATCTCTTAGCTCCCTCATGTGATTTCGTTTTGACCTCTAATGTTGCTTTAAGTTTGTAACACCCTAGGTTAGCCAAAATCGTGTTTCCTATTTCGGCGCGACTTGACCTAAACTGTGTTCCTGTGCCGTAAAAAACCAAAACTTTCCTGTAAACATGTGCTCACTTTCTTTTGCAACTCATCATCGGTGGATTTTCTACATATTTTGTAAATTGCTCTTTTCAGCAGAAAATGAAATTATGCTATATTATTATTTCGTTACAA